GGGAGCGTTGCGCAGAGGCGTGGCAAGAGCCCAGCCGCTTAGCGGGGCATGGAGCACCCGCTGTCGCCCTGTTCCCGGCGGTCCGCAGGCCGTTCGGAGGCGTCCGTAAATGACGTAACGCTGAAGAGGAGGGAGGGGGGTTGAGGCAGCGTTATGCTGCGTTACATGAGGATATTAGTTTTATTTTTTCGTCACATTGATATTTATTTAGTTTTTACATTTTTCAACATTTGCTGAAATACCTTCGATCTTTGAGACATACTTAAATTTAATTATGTTTTTAAATCGTATTAATTAATATTTTAAGTTATTAGGTGTAAATTGTCACAAGAAATGGAAATATTTTTTCATCAATTTTTATTGAATCTGTAAAATTACAAGAAAATATTCAAAACCGATGTGTAATTTATTCTATAGTCAATTAAAATTCGCGCAGTAAACTGTCGCCCCTCCGTCATCCACAATGGCGGCCCGGCTTGTAATCAAAAATGTTCTCGCGTTTGCGTACTTCCGCCACTCACATTGTGTCTCCAATCTTATTGTTAGGTTCAGTCAGCATCGCCAAGTAATTCCGGCTTTAATTATAAATTTTAATATCCGACACAAATAAAATGACATTTTTTCACTTTTTGCTTTTCGAAGTGGGGGTGGCAAGCGTTATTTAAAGGGGGTTAAAGATCATGTTGCGAGTGCCTTACAGAAGGGAGAGGGGATTTTCAAAATATTCCCAATTTGCGTTACGTTACCCTCTGCGCTCTGTGCGCAGTGAAGAGGCGGGCTGGGGGCCCCAAGCCGCCCCGACCTTTTGCTTGTGCGCGCCAGCTGCACTCTCGGCTTCGTCGTGGCAGTGCCACACACGCATGGGGAATAGAGCAGGGTTTCTTCCGGCGCATGCGAGTGGTGCATAATAGACTATCGCTTGCGACCATTCCCCGCTGCCCTCGACGGGGGGAGGGGGGCTCAGTTGAGCTGAATGGCCGCCAGCAATGATAACTGATTCGTTCTTGCGACTTGGTTCTCATGTTTCCACACCGTAGGGTTCGGGGCGTTCAATGCCAGGCAGTCCTCCCGCCCGCCCAGGCCGCGGCAGTGGCTCCACCAGAAGAAGCCTCTGTGGAGAAGTTGAGGAGAGAGAGGAGGAACTTTCCCCTCCGCCACTTTGCGCGCATGCGCAGTTCAGGATTTTTACATGGTCGAGCGATATACTGCGTTTTATCCAACTCTGCCCCTGGCAGGTATCAACTATTGAGTTTCATCCAGTCGGGATCTTCGACGTCACCATAGTGGCGTCATATGGCTATATGTATATATTGTTTTAAGAATAAGTGGCTTGAAAATCAAGGAATACTCGAAAACTACTCGTTTAAAAATGTATATGGCCTTACTTAAATAGATTAACATATTTAATTGTACCAAAAATGTGGCTGCAGTATCATACTTTTGCAATTCTTCATTTTTGTAATACCAGTATGCAAATACCAGAATCAACCCCCCCTTTTTTGCTACCTACGTTTCTTTACCATTTACGTTTACCTACATTACCGTACGAGGAAAAACCTTAAAGATCTATGCTGTTACGATATCACATACTTTCTTGCATTTTTCTAACTGCTCGGTTATATTAACTTGCAAAAGAGTTTTCATCCAGCACCAATTCATCTCCGCTCCGAGAGGAATTCAGATCCTCAGATATAACTGGCCGACGTGCATACCATTACGCTACAGAAGAGCCGAATGGTAGGAACCTTCGAAAGAGCGGGAAGTAATGATATTCGGTACCGTTGGGAATACCACGGTAAAAGAAATACTAAGTTGGTCCTGTGGGTAGTGTTATATATGTAGTTGTCCCATATTGCTGATGAAAAAACATTTTAAATAGTTTTTGAGAATTTTTTATTGTTGTAAATTTCAATCGCAAACTAAGCAAAACTACTCGTTTTTTTATTTGAAAAACTTGAAGAATACCTTTTTAAAAAGTAATTTTGTACATTATACTTTCTCTGAGGCAAGAATCTCTTAAATTCAATTTTGTGGTTTTAAAATAATTTTTTAAATTTCCAAAAAACCGAACAATGCCCGAAAACATGACTGCCATCATTATCTACACTATCCGAAGACGCGTTCTTTGCACTATCCAAAGGCCGAGTTTCATCTAAAAATTTGATGTCGTTTTTGAGAAAGTAATGGTTTAAAAATTGCCAATGTTGCACACAAAAACTACGTTTTATTAAAAAATATGAATGTCCTTTTTTTTTAAAAAAGAACGATTTTTTTTGAAGCCTGTTATTCAGTTTTCGTGCAGATTTTCATACAGCTTCTGTAGAGAAACTTCAAGTTGGTATAAAAGTCAGACGCCGCTAGGGAGGGGGGTGTCTATCGGGAAATAACTGAATTGCGCCGTCCGACTTCTTTCAGCGGTGGTATTTCTGTGCGTGCGTTAGACTGTGATCTTTATTAAGTATTAATTAATCATGAGGGGAATAAAAAACATAGGAATACGCAAGGAGGTAGTTTATCACAATTTGACGTCACACCAAGGCACCTTGATTCACCTTACCACAAATTCCAAATGGCCGGTTATCATGGCGTCAGGTTACTAAACGATTTTGCCGCTAGAGGCGCTTGTGTCAAACTGTAAACTGTCTGCATGAAACAATTACGAACATGCTCCATATTTTTCATGTCTGAACTGCACGAGAATCTGCACCGTACTATGCGCACACGTTTTCTTGGTCCTCCCGCTCCCTAGTTCTCGCTCAGCCCGGAACAGCACGGCCCGGTAGAAAATATGAGTTTCCCTCAGAACGTCACGGCTCAGTTTGATGTGATGCCCACCATCGTCCCGTACAAGCTGACTTCTTAGCTTCTACTTTCACTTTCAGTAGAACTGTGCGTACCCTGTTCCTTCTTGTCACTGAATCATTTCTATGACTATTAATTATTTTTTAAAAAATCTTGCATTGTTTTTCTTTTCCGCCTAGTCCAAGACGCGCTATCACGCTGAGTATTTTGTCCGTGACGAAGACAGAACCCACCTCTCTCCTCACCCCCGCTGGAGCATGAAGGAAACGTGTGCATATAGAATAGCGGGCTAAGGCGTGTGTGTGTGTGCGTGTGTGTGGCAGGACGAGCGCGGGCGCGTGATGCGGCGCACCATCATGCGGTACGTGTGCCTGTGCCTCACCATGGTCTTCTCCATGATCTCGCCGAGGGTGAAGAAGCGCTTCCCCACGCTGGACCACTTCGTGGAGGCCGGGCTGCTCACCGACAACGAGAAGAGCATCATGAGCGACCTGAACGAGAAGTTCCCGCGCCACTCCAAGCACTGGCTGCCCATCGTGTGGGCGGCCAGTATCGTCACCCGCGCGCGCAAGGTGAGCGCGCGCCAACC